CGAACAAATTGACTTTCCCGCTATGAAATCTGTCAATTATTATACCTCACTTTCTAGTGGCGCCGCCCTGGTGACAGAAAAAGTAGTGGATTCCCTCATTTAATTTTTTAATTTAGTTTAAGAACCTCATGTCTTTTAAAATTGTGTATACTGGGGAATTAATCAAAAAATGTATTTGGTTACTGCATATGCTTGGGTGTTCCGCAGGGATCTATCATTGGTTCCTTTTTATTTCGTATATTTACTAATGTCAACATTTAGCCTATCTATTTAAACTTACATGCTAAAGACTACGGGGTGTGTAAGATAACCTAAGTAGCCCCTCAAGCAACGTGACTGAGTTACGGGAGCCGAAGAGAGGTCGTAGCGGTGGTCATAAACAGGATCGTGGAAAAAATCTGTTATTTGTTTTTTTTTTTGTTAATACGAAACTATTACCAGTAGCCCGGAGTCAGAGCAATCGCAGCAGTTGGCGGTGTTTAACCCCCACACCTCAGTAAGCACGTAAAGCCGTTGGTCATGCGACTTATCACTTTCAGGTCGTGTTAGATTGCCGTACCAACGGACTATGAGAGTGAGGCAATAGAGAGTGCTCCTGTGCTTGCACACACACTATCATTGTAATCTAGTTCATCTCTATTAAGACTGCCCACCGTGGATGGAGGATATTATTATTATAACTAGCCTAAAATGTCCCACTGCAGGGCAAAGGCCTCCCTACTCTTTTTCCACTTCTCTCTCTCCAGAGCCACCATAGACCAGTCCTTCATGGAGTCTAGTTCGTCCCGCCATCTCCGCCTGGGTCTGCCCCGCTTACGTTTGCCTTTTATAGGAGCCCATTGAGTTGTCACTTTTGCCCATTGTTCATTTGGCATTCGTCAGATGTGTCCAGCCCAGTCCCATTTTAGAGTAGCAGCTTTTTGTGTGACATCAGCAATTTTTGATTTGGAATGGATTTCATCATTCCTAATCCGGTCTACAAGCTTAATGCCGAGAATGTTCCGTTCCATTGCTCTTTGACATACCTCAAGTCACCTAGACAAGACAAGTGCTTTCGCCATAGTAAGGTGGGTTTTTACAAGACGTGAGCGCTTTTTTACTCGAAAAATAGACGTAGGTATCGATTAGCTACAGCTTCCACTTACTTTGGACTGTACGATTTTCGGTTGATACATTTTTTTTAATACTAGCAATGCAATTGACATTACATGCCTGTGTTAGGAGTGGTTTATGACAGTAGTCGAATGGCGGATTCGAACGCACGACCTTTTGATTTCCCGGTCCGCACCCTGCCATTAGGCTACTATTGCTATACACAGTGCTTTACATAAACTCTCATGCTCATCAGCCAGATGGTTGCAGCGGCGGAGGCGGAGGCTACAGACTTCCATTTGGCACTATCCTGATAAACCTATCTCGCTTCGTTTTGAAAAAAAAAAATGCTTACATTAATAATAAAAAATATGTGTGCAATGAGGGCTAATAATTTTCTGCTAACCAGATGTCGCTAGTTGACACTGAGGTAAAGTTTTTTGTTACACAATATTATTTAATTGAGACGTTGTTTTTCGATAAAAGTTTATCAGTTTTTTTCTACGTTTCTAATTTATTTTTCTAATTCTACTTTTATGAAAATCTGTGGTTTGGTTTATTTATTTTTAATGTTATTAATATAAAATATAGCTAATAATACAAAAAGAAACAATAACTTTTACATTTTCCGAACAAATTAACTTCCCCACTATGAAATCTGTCAAATCAATCTCACTTTGCAGTGGCGCCGCCCTGGTGGCAGAAAAAGTCGTGGATGCCCTCATTCACAAGCGGTAGAAGTGAAACGTAAACTACTGTATTCTATCTCATTCTCTCGCAGGCTAAATCCTATAGATGTATATGTTTGTCTCTTTCTTGTGTCTATTTTTCGTTTCATTGAGTTAAAATCACAACGATTCTACAGAAGTTGCCAAATAAAAAAAGCACTTTTTATTGCAGGTACCAAGAAAATTCCGTTTACAGACCGGCATATCAGAGTCCCAGCAAATGATATGGATGGAGCGTCGACCGCATCCCGAGGATGAGTCAGAGAAGAAGAAAGAAGTAACACTAAAGCCTCCTAAAGTCCATGGCTCAAGATTGATTCCAGAGAGGGTAAACCTAATTGGTTTACGAGGTAAGGACCTGATATTAGCAAGGAGGAAGATGCCACGGGCTAAATTCTTGCCTTGATTTCGTCCAATAAATTTCTTCCGAAATTTAAAATGTTTTATTCAGTTATTCATAAGGATCCGGGTTGCACGACTCGTCTATATAAAATTACACGTACCGTTACCGTTATCATTACAGCCTATTAAAGTCCACTGCTGAATACTCCCCCTTAGATAGGTGATTTAATAATTTCACCTCTCAGTGGGTCATGTGCTCCTGGTAGATTATCTTTTATATATACACTACAGCCTATCTTTTATATATCCATTACAGCCTATTTAAGTCCACTGCTGAACATAGTCCTCCCCCATAGATTGCCTCATGGGAGATATTTGCGATAGTTGTAATGTTAGTGTTGATTTATAATTTCACCTCCCAGTGGGTCATGTGCTCCTGGTAGATTATCTTCTATACATCCATCAATTACAACCTATTAAAGTCTACTGCTGAACACTCCCCCTTAGATCGCCTCATAGGGGGTAGGTATATTTGCCATAGTTGCCACACTTGGCTAGCGGGTTGGCAATCGCAGTGTTTTTTTTATTTTTAGTCGTTATTAAGAAGATGCTGCGCTGCTGCCCGTCTCCTGGTTTGTTTCACTCTGTCGCCTCTTACGACACCCACGGAATGATGGAGTTTTGGCGGGAACTTGACCTGCGGCGGTTTGCTGCTCCTGTATTATTGTTTAAATAATGGTTTGAAGTGGACTTTGATATGTAAAAGTGGTGCGATTTTGTGTATTAAGTGTCTGCGCATGTGAACTATTAGTGGAAACGGTGAAACAAGTGCTCTGATGGTGATGTGATTCTCGCACTCAAAATAGATGTTAGTGTCTTGTATATGCTAGGTAGACACGTAATGGGGCGGTGTTTGCTCGGATCTGTGGTATCCTGATATTTAGGAACCAAATGAGTTAATTCCAGTAGTGAAGAGGCTCGGGAGCGATTTCTGGTCGAGAGCTTTTTTTATTTATTATAAGCCAGTGCTTGACCACAATCCAACCTGGTGGTAAGTGGTAATGCAGCCTTAGATATTAATCGCACTGTCTTGTTGTAACAAAGCCTATTCACTCTTGCCTTGACGACGCCCAGATAGAATTGGGACGGAAAGATAAAATCTCCCAAGGGCTGCACAATGTGACGCATCAACATATTGTGAAGCAGTGCACTAGGAAGGATAGTTATACATTGTAACTTCAGGCTCAGAACGGCTAGAACCCAGAGCCGGAAAGCCAGTTAAAAAAAAGGGATTTGCATCTCAATACCAGACACGAGTACCTTTAACGCTGGTTTCCGTCGCTGGGTATTTTAAATCTAGCGTATACGATATACGAGGGCTGCACTAAAAGTATCGGGAATAGAATATTTCCACTGTTCCTGTCATATTAAAATCTTTTTAATTAAAAACCCCTTGGTTTTAAAAATCGAATACCATTTATTTATTTAAAAAAAGATTCTCGGTCTTGAAACAAAGGTTTTATCAAACTTGTTTAGTCGTTGAGAAAATGGAATTGACTCGAGAAAATTCAAGAGCGATGATTTATTATGACTTTCGAAGTGGTTTAACACAAAAACAGTGTGACCGGGTGATTTCTGCATTTGATGATGAAGCCCCATCCAAAACCACAATTTATCGCTGGTTTGCTGAATTCCAACGTGGACGTGTCAAGCTCAGTGATGATCCCCGACAAGGTCGTTCAAAAACTGCAGTCACCCAAGAAAACGTTGATGCTGTGCGTAAGCTGATTGAGGAAGATCGACATGTGACATACCCCGAAATTCAGGCAACTTTAGACATTGGCATGAGTCAAATACAAATAATCTTGCATGAACAATTAGGTGTAAAAAAGTTGTTTTCCCGATGGATAACGCATTCGCTCTGTGAAGAGTAAAAAGCGGCTCGCGTTACTTGGTGCGTCAGAACTCCCGAAAGATTCCACGCAGGATCCTCAAATGCTGTATACAACATCGTATCAGGTGACGAATCCTGGATATACACGTACGAACCCGAAACAAAAAACCAGTCACGAGTTTGGGTGTTCGAAAATGAGTTAAAGCCAACAAAAATTGTTCGTTCACGCAGTGTTGCAAAAAAAAATGGTGGCCACGTTTGCCTCCAAAACCGGCCATGTTACGACTATTCCTCTTGAGGGACAAAGAACGGTTAATGCAGAATGGTACGCTAGCATTTGTTTGCCACAGGTCGTTTCTGAACTCCGTAAAGAGAACTGCAACCGCCGCATCATCCTCCATCACGACAATGCGAGTTCTCACACCGCACACAGAACAAAAGAGTTTTTAGAGCAAGAAAACATAGAATTATTAAACCATCCGCCGTACAGCCGCGACCTAAGCCCTAATGATTTCTATACTGTCCCTAAAATAAAGAATAAATTGCGTGGACAGAGATTTTCATCACCTGAAGAAGCTGTGGACGCCTACAAAACGGCCATTTTGGAGACCCCAACTTCCGAATGGAATGATTGCTTCAATGATTGGTACCATCGTATGGAAAAATGTGTCAAATTTGGCGGAGAATACTTCGAAAAGCAATAAATACATTTTTAAATAGTAATGTTGTGTCACTTCCTTGATTCCCGAAATTTTCAGTGCCGCCCTCGTAGTTACCGGTATGTATTCGGAAGCCATTAAATCTTTGTGGAATTCCCTATGGTTGCATCTTACTACATTAAATTAAAACAAATTAACGTATATTAACTGGCTTAGCTTTCAACCAAGCATCCACAGTGTAGTGCTCGAGCACTCATATCACTAGACCTGGCGGTCGTAACTCACCTGTATAGCGATGATGATAGTGTCATTCTGGACTGGACCGAAGATGTCCTCATTGTAGATGATTTGAGCGTCATTGTGCCTCTGGATGGCCCTCCGTATGTCTGACACGTTCTTTGGACTAGCGCGTTCAGTCGCGTTCGCTGGGAAATAAAAGTTTTTCATAATTACGTTATAACTGATAACCGTATAGTGGCGGTGTAAGAATATCCACTACCCCATATCATCCCGTGGGTGTCGTAAGAGGCGACATAGGGAAACTGAAACAGGAGATGCAGCAGCATATTCTTGGTAGTAATTCAAAATCATAAAAAAACTGCTGTTGCCATCGCGCTTGCCAAGCGTGGCAACTATGGCAAAATCCCCTCTATAAGGATCTATTGGGAAGGCCTATTATTGTTCAGCAGTGGACTTTATTAGGCTGTAATGGATGGATGTATAGAAGATAATCTACCAGGAGCACATGACCCACTGAGAGGTGAAATTATTAAATCAACAGTAACATTACAACTATGCCAATCCCCCCCCCCCTCCCCCCTATGAGGCAATTTATGGGGGAGGCCACAGAGCAAATACAAAGAGGACGTGTTATAATTAGATTTCATTACGTAACAACTACGACACATCTTCTCGTTAGACATACCTCAAAAGCTGAAAACGAAATTGTACAACCAGTGCGTGTTGCCAGTGATGACTTACGGATCTGAGACGTGGTCCTTCACTGCTGGCCGTATGAGGAAGCTCAAGGTCGCTCAGCGAGCTATGGAGAGGGCTATGCTCGGGGTGTCTCTGCGTGATTAACTTAGAAATGAGGATATCAGCAGTAGAACCAGAGAAACCGACATAGCCCAACGGATTAGTAAGCTGAAGTGGCAGTTGGCCGGCCATATAGCTTGAAGAACCGACAACCGATGGGGAAGAAAGGTTCTCGAGTGGCAGCCTCATACCGGTAGGTGAAGTGTAGGGCGACCCCCCACTAGATGGAGTGACGACCTGGTGACACATGCAGGAAGTCGATGGATGCAGGTGGCTCAGGACCGTGCTTTGTGGCATTCCTTGGGGAAGGCCTATGTTCAGCAGTGGACTTGTGAAGGGCTGTAATGATGATAATGATGATTAATGCTTTTACGATTGTCAAAATATTTTTCTTACTATTGCAACACCGGATGCATTTATATGATTGGATAAGGTTATCACTTGAGTAATTACATACATTGTATGGGTTATCAGTCCGTAAAGATTAAATAGTAAAACTACTCTCATCGTTCCATATCGATGTTGCAAAGTAATTTAGCTACCTTGACGATAGATGGCGGCCTGTTCACAAGATGATTATAAAAAATATGAAAATAATATTTTGGCGATTAAAAATTGTTTAGTACTGAATGCAAAACAAATTTCATCACCTTCGTATGATCATTTTACCAATACTGAGCTCTACATGACGTAAGAGTGTTGTCCCCCCCACTCGAGCCGATCTATTCTTGTTACAATCTAATCTATATTAGCTATTATAATAATATATTATAATAATATACAGCTATCTGCAGGATGGCTTTGATATGATGAAGTTGAACCTTACCAGTAGCGTTCTTGGAGTGGACCGTCAGGTACTTGTGGAGTTCAGGTGGCACCAGGGCCAGAACTTGTTCAGACGTGTCATTGGAATTCATCAGCTCCTCTGAAACAGACGTATTTGAAATTTTTTAACCGTAACAAAATAATTATAGCGATTAACTCGCTATCAGATTCGATAACTCAATTTTAAGATATCGTTAAGTCTCGCTACTGTCACAGTCATTTTGACTTGAAGTGATAGAGACAGCACGAGACTAAACTGCAACTTAAAATTGAGCAACGTTTGGATGTTTGGACAGTAGATATCTACATCTATTATCGATTAACAATCAAAATGCAGATGCATCACCCCCTGAGGTTTAAGATGGAATGCCTCGTTTCCAGTAAAAAGGGTCTCCGGTTCTCTACACTCATCATACGAAACACAGCAGTGTTAAGCTTATTCAATTTTATTAAAAAAAAATTGGTTTTCTTCACCGTCGAGTACCAGCACTGTTATTCTTCATAAAAACATTCAGTATGTTAAGATATTTATTGACAAAATAAATTATGATGCGATTCACGTTATAACATGTACATATAGGTACATATGTAGAAAAAGCACAAGGTCTATATGTTGATATTAGTATCGCATCGCAACGATTTTAAAACAGGTTGATGGCACACTAAAAGCGGTTTTTTTTTGTTTTAGTATTCTAAGCCAATGCGTGAATACTATATCACCTGACAGTAAATGGTGATGCAGTCGAAGATGGTGTGACGGCGCTGTCGTCACGCCACAAACGAAATACACCGAAATCGAAATCCAAAATTTCGAAGTAGTTATATATAGATAGATTAGCTCCAAACTATCACACGGAACGTTGGCCGCTCCCTTTACACCTTGCCTGGGAGATATCCCCTTTTCCCTTCCATGGTCAAAGTGGTGTACCCGACGTGATTTGAACACGCAACATTGCACAACCTTTTTAAACCTCGATTTCGTCAGCGTACTCAAATGCCCCATCTATTCGCTCCCGAGCACATATTGTCTACAGTCTTTAGATCCTGCAAGCCATCTAGCTTTACAAGGTTCATCACAGTACTAGAAAGCGCACTCACTGACTTAACAAAAGCCTACACTATTGTCTTGAAACCACCTACAGTAATCGGATGGATATATAGATGCTGCAATTTATCCCACTCCTTTGCTGTACACATGACGGACAGTGAAGCAAACAGTTTGGTTCGTATGCGTGATATGTCGGTAACAAAGGTTTCGAAGACTGGCCGAGCGTCGGGTAGTCTTGGTGATATGTAGCGGATGATGTTTTTATATCAAACAGATATGCTAAAAATGGCTTTTTCACAGTCCACCTGATGGTAAGTGATTGCTGTGACCCATAGACATCTACATTTATCCTCAATTAAAGAATCAAAATGCAGATGCGTCGTCAACCGTGAGGACTAAGACGGAATGCCTCGGTTCCAGTAAAAAAGGTCTCCGGTTCTCTACACTCACCATACGAAACACAGCGGCATTAAGCTGCTATTTTACGCTGGTATTCTGTGAGAGCGTGGTAATTCCCCGGTCGAGTCGAGCCATTCGTGCTATAACTATACCACTAATATAGCTGCAGCATGGCTCTACCACGTCCAAATATTCAAAGATGCATATCTTATAGCTTCGCTTTAACTTTGGACGTAAGCCCTAATCCTTTCTTTATTGTAATGCGTGTTTACTATTCAGTGAAGACCGTGGGGACGATACCTGAGTGGGATGGTAAACACCTGGCTGTATGTAATCACACGGCTCTCAGTTTTGTTACATTCGTTTGCCCGATTCCTATCCTATATTCAAAAAAGTGTCGTTCTCTGTAACGATCCGTTTTATTATATACGAGGTACATTTAAATACAGTTTATATTATACACTATTAATTTAGGAACTTACGATGGCTTCACCTTAAATAAATAGTTGAACTGGTGTAGAGAACCATAGAGCCTTTTTAATGGGAACGAGACATTCCGTCTTAGTCCTCAGGGATGAAAACGGATTTGCATTTTGATTCTTAATCAATAAAAAAAACGGCCAAGTGCGAGTCGGACTCGCGCACCGAAGGTTCCGAACAAATCCGTAGGTATATAAGTTTAATATTATTAAAAATATTTTTATTATATGATGTAACTAAAAGTTTATGCTTTTCGCAATTTTTCCTTTATCTGTGCTATAATACGTTGCTTCGTACCAAATTTTAAGATTCTGAGATCACGGGAAGTACCCTGTTTTAATTCCCTTAATGAATGTCATATGCCCGAATGTAGAAAATTTGCGGCATAAATGGCATGGGATCGGGTGACAAACGAGCACACAGTCCACCTGATGGTAAGTGGTTACTGTGACCCATAGACATCTATATCTATCTCAATAAAGACTCAAGATGCAGATGCGTTGTCACCCGTGAGGACTAAGATGGAATGCCTCTTTGCCAGTAGAAAGGGTCGCCGGTTCTCTACACTCACCATACGAAACACAGCAGCGTTAAGCTGCTATTTTACGCTGGTTTTCTGTGAGAGCGTGGTCCTTCCCCGGTCGAGCCGACCTATTCGTGCTACAACCATAATATAGCTGCAGCATGGCTCTACCACGTAAAAATTTGATTGCGTTGGCTTAGAAGTTTGATTATTTCACAGCTCTAAGGGACAGTAGACTTGAGTATTTGATATGAATTTCAGCTTGATACTCGTACCTCCACGCGTTCCTGAGAAAAAGGGTCTTGACAGACAGACAGACAGACAGACAGACGGACAACAAAGTGATCCTATATGGGTTCCGTTTTTTCCTTTTGAGGTACGGAACGCTAAAAATCGAAGATAGATGATGTAGATGTCTATGGGCCGCAGCATCCACTTACCATCAGGTGGGCTGTGTGCTCGTTTGAAACCCTTACTCTATAAAAAAAAAACATAGACTTAGAATATAATATAAAACCCGAAACTATTATTAAACACACTCCTGTAATAAAAACCGTAGGTAACTGTTTGGTACATATTACGCAGTTGATACAATACTTTAAAAAAATACCTATTTAAGGTGTTGCCACACCAATTTTATTTCAAGGACGGTTTTATCAAGTTACCTTTAAAGATAGCAGGTTTAAAGACCTTATCAAAAATGTTACAGCCGCAGACGTGATAAGTCTCGTTTATCGTGTAGTTAATTCGTTCTTATCTACTTTACACGCTGTAGCGGGAACGGGTCGGCTCGTTCGGCGACGGACCACGCTCTCACAGAATACCAGCGTGAAATAGCAGCTTAACACTGCTGTGTTTCGTATGGTGAGTGTAGAGAACCGGAGACACTTTTTGCTGCAAATGAGTCTGCCATTTTAGTCCTTAGGGGTGACAACTGACAACGCATCTGTATTTTGGCTCTTAACACACTTGGCACAAGCCTCTTCTCATTTCTGCGAGGGTTTTAGGGCAAGGAATGTCCGCTGCGTGTTAGCGGACATCACATGTCATATTTCATTTCTCAGACATGCAGGTTTGCTCACGATGTTTCCTTCACCGCCTAGCACGTGGTAAATAAGCACTTAAATTTTTTTTAATAGGATAAGGGTGACAAACGAGCACACAGTCCACCTGATGGTAAGTGGTTGCTGCGGCCCATGGACATCTACATCTATCCTCTGTTACAAATCAAAATGTAGATGCGTTGTCACCCGTGAGGACAAGATGGAATGCCTCATTTCCAGTAAAAAGGGCCTCCGGCCACCTGCACTCACCAAGCGTAACGCAGAGGTAAACCTCTACTTCACGCCGGTTTTCTGTGAGGTCGTGGTACCACCCCGGTTCGAGCCGGCCCATTCGTGCGACAGCAAAAGCTGCCGCGTGGCTCTACCACTGTTAAATTATAGAATAAAATTGCAATTAACAATTTCATTGGCGCCGGCGCGGGTCGCGTCCCATCGAAATTTACACGAAGCATATAGAAGTAAATATAGCAAGAGCAAAGCATATGTGTGACTATACATAGACAAGTGGTAAAATTAAAAATGTTGTACAACCGACTTCAATATAAATAAAATGAGAACATCATCAATGTAGTCGAAGTCAATTAAATACGCATTATTAACGATAACTCAAAAACTACTAGTCAGATCTTGTTCAAATTATATGGGACCACATGAGATGCGCCAGCTTTCAAATAAAAAAAAGAATCATCAAAATCGACTCACATATAAAAAGGTAACACACACAGAAAAAAATACAGGCGAATTGAGAGCTACTTCTTTTTTTGAAGTCGGTTGAAAATAAAATTATGTGTCTTACATAGATCATAGAGTATGTAGATAGTTTCTTACCCTATAAAATGAAAAATAATTATTCTAAATGATAGTATCCCAAGCAGATGGTAGCATAAATCCATCTTTTCTATTGAAATTAGGATGTTTTTTTTTTGTTTTAATTTCAATAGCCTCGCGAATCATCCTTAGTAGGATTCGGTGGTCCATCTGCTTGGGATCCTATAATTAATAAAGTTAAATCCAAAACCCAAGTACACCACTGCAAGACTTCAAGATAATGTAAGCTCATTATGCGTAGATCGGACCAAAATAAAAAACTAAAAGAAAAAATAAAAAACTGAAGGTAACCTGGCCAACTATGACATCGGGACGTCAAACACCTCAGTCACCCGAAACGTCCGGAATTAAAGAGTTAAAATTGCGATAGAATCCGTAAAAATTAGTTTAATTTAATTTGTAATATTCGTGTAAATGTAAGAAATCATTAAGCCCGGTTTCCACCGCGGAAGGGTAATGAGTGTTCCCACCAACAAAGAGTTTTGCCTGTTGATTTCCACTGCAAACGGATAGCGACAGAGAGGAATCAGCGGAGCTAGCTGAACGGAATATGAGAAATGGGAAATGAATAGTCAATTTCCACAGAGAGCGAGTTCAGCTGGAGTTTTGAACCGGTTACGTGCGGTATTGTTCTGTTGTGTGAATTCGCGATGTTATCGAGTGACACGGAATCAAGTGAGGACAATGATTAATGATTATGTATACCGAATGAAAAAGTATATATTATTATATTTTAAGCACACATATTATTATATTTT